TATCGTGTTTTTAGAACTTGGCTAAAATCTTCTCACTGTTTTTCCTTACTGGACAATTACTTTACTAAAGCTATTCTGGTTTTAGCAGATTGTGGCCACAACTCATATAGTTTTTTTAGAACTCGTCTAAAATTATCTCACAGTTGTTCATTACTAAAATTCAATAGTAGTAGAATCTTTTAAAATACTCGTATTTATATATACCCTTACATTTGACATTGTAATATGCATTTTCCAATGGATTTAAAAAAACAAAACCGCAATTGTGTTATTCTTTTTCTTACAATACCCAGAGTTCTTGCACTTATATATTTGTATATATCTTTTTTACATTCATTCATTATCGTATGCAATGCGTTATCGTTGTCACATTTTTTTGCCAATTAACATTTTTTCCTTTGACTAGCTGACCTTTACACATTCCAGCTACGAGCTATTTTCTTTTTTCCCCGGTTCCCTACATTCTTTTTGCTTATTAATTTTGCGTGTTGCCTCATTCAATGTGGCAGGTGCATCAAACGCACCTGCTCATTATAAAAGGCTTTGCTTTTACTGCATTTGCTACTATGTTTGCTTGCTATGTCTTATACTTACTTGAGTTTCATTACAAAAATTGTGGCTTATATTCAGTTTCTTATTTTATTCTTTGCAATTCGCCAACTATTATAAGGATCCCATATAATTCTTAAACAGAAACAAAGGTCTAGACAACGAGGATCCATTATTTTTTAATTAGACTCGTTTGTAGCAGTCACAAAACTCGGATTTATTTTATTTCGGGTATGATAAATACGAATGTGCATTGAATATTTCACAATTTGTTTGGCATTATGCCGGCAGGGGAATACTATAAATCGTAGCTCAAATATTGTCTGTTTTTAAACTGCATTCATTGCAAATCGTTATGAGCAGGCTTTGGGGCATTCAACAGCAAACTGCCAATAAACAACAATTAGTGAGAAATGATAATGCAAGCAAAAACGAGGCCAGAATTTGCAACAAGGACCATAGGCAATGGCAGTGCCGGCAGCCACAGACAGATAATTGGGAGCAGAAATTGGCAGCAAAGCATTTGGCCAAATGCTCATTGCGACTTATGGCAATGCGTCTGTGTGCGTGTGCGTGTGTGTCTGTGTTATGTGTGTCTATTTGTAATTAGTGTGCGCTTTATGCACAAAGCAAATGCTGGAAATACCAAAAGGCAACACAGCACAACACAAAGCCATTAGCTATAGAGCCATCCAGCCATGAAGTCTGCCAAGTGCAATGCAAGAAAATATCCTTCAATGGCTTTTTGGCTTAAGCATGAAAGTGTATGCATAATGTGTGCGTGTGTGTGTCTCTGTGTAGGGTGTTTGCATATGAAAATCCAAAAACAGTTGTTGTTTTCGTTTGTGTTAAACAGCAGGCATATTATTCGACATGTGCGTGTGGTTGGTTAGTTGCTCGATTTGCCAGCACGATACAAACTTTGCCTAGGGTTTTATTTTTTGGTTATCTATAGTGTTTTTGTTGTTGGACACTGTGTGCAAATACCCACATATTTGCAACTAGGCCAGCACCAAAAACTGTCGATAAAGGGCTAAAATGCATGCAACTAGCAATTGTACGAGGGGCACTCGTAAGCATAACAAGCCAAAATTATATAGCAAAGTCAATCTATAGAACATGTTGAAAGTTACTTGAATTATGTGGTACGTAGCTTTAAGGAATAACATCCAGAATAACACAAAAACAATAACATTTTATACAATTATATTTGAATTAGTTAATAAATAACGCACATGAAAACCTTTGATGTCGTAGCAGTGTTGAGGATTTGAAATAATAATATACAGGGGTGTCACAGAAAACTCCGGTGGTTTCGGCTACAGTTGATTTTGAAGAATCCCAAAAAATATGTCGGCGCCACAGAACTTCGAATTTCTTTTCTCCCCTCCAAACCAGCTGTCAGCAACAGCTGACTGTCGACGCTCACATTTGCCTGACTAATTCTGTAAAAATCCTTTAACGCACTCAGCAGTAGTGATGATTTTTTTCCGAGGTGACAAGGGCGTACACGCTTTTACCAAAGGGGGAAAGGGGTCAAAAAATTAAAATTTTAATTAAATAATGCACGATGCATTTAAAAAATTATTTATACATATCCAACTCAGTTTCATTTTAAGGCGAAAAGTTTGTCTAATAATAAACGTGTGGTCGACTTTATATGGCAAATTTTTTTGCCTGCCTACGCCCTTGCGAGGTGAGAAAAAACATTTATTGCGTTTCGGTGGTAGATTGATCTCACAATTAAATATTCATTCCAAAGCCATAGATTGAAGTAGATGATTGGGTCGATCAATAATTGAATAGCCTATGTAATGAAATATTACTAGGACTAGTTATGTATATTTGTAATAAGTTTAAGTTTTTAAACTTACAACAAAGCACCAATTGGGTGTATTAAAAAATCAAATAGAAATTGTAGGCTACTTTTGCATTACGCATACCTACAAATCAAGTAAGAAAACTCAATTATATTTTTCGCACAGTTTCTGTAGTGAATCAACAACTTCCCTTGTATGGAAGAACTTTACAGCTACAGACAAGAAGTACAGTTTGCTCAACTCACAGGCTGCAATGAAAACTTGCACTTTACGTAATGTTTTTAGAGTGTTACAAAGAATTTGTCACCGTGGCGATACCAACAACACCAGGGAAAATGCAGCTAAAGTTTTCTACTGCGTGTGGCAGCTTAAAGTTGCTTTCAAGTGACAGGCGGACCTAGTGGTTTAGTTTCAGCCACCGTTGGGGGCCTACTGACAAGACCGTGTGGCTCAGCGCTCATAAATAATGCAAAACTTAAAGGGAAACCTCTCTTAGCCCCAGGGGAGCAGGCGCTTAACCCTATTAAGATGTTACATCCACGCGCAGCATTTTAGCCAGTTTTGCCCATAATTTGCCCGAGGCACAATGCCTTTAACTGCTGTTAGCGTCAGCCGACCTGCTCATTAAAAACTTAAAGGCTGTCATCAGTGCGCATAACCAACGCGTATGACGACGTCATGGCATGTAAGCCTTGCAGACAGCTACCGCCACCGCATATAATATGGAAAAACTGAACACTGAACACTGTAGGTATGGGTCTGTGTGTTCGTGTGCGGGACATTATACGTATGTGCGAGTGTGCGGACTTGCCGCAGAGCTTAATTATAGTAGTTCTTGGCGTTATGAGGAGGCGTCTCTCTGAAAGACGTTTCGGGGCCTCCACATGTGACAATGGGCGATTCAGTTGCATCAACGACAAACGACAACGGCTAATTAGGCATCATATGACGAGGAACGCCAAAGCAAAGGGACAAGCGGCTGTAAAGAAGTAGAACTGTTCATAAGGGATGTACTTAGTTGCTGAATACGCCATTTGAGTTAAGACCTTTGAGAGAATCTTGAAAAAGGCATTTCTAATGGTGTGACTGTTGTACTTGATGGAAAACTGAACCCACTCTCGTAGTAAAAACCTTTGAGCTTAGCTCCAGCATCTTAGCATGTGCAGCCATGCCTTAATATTCGCTATCATGCTTATAATTGGAGATAGAATTGAAAGATTCTTAGTTCGTTTTTAGCGCTGCCATTCATCGAAAAACTGGTCACGACGATAAGTAATTTATGTTTTTATACCCTGTACCCGTAGGGTAAAAAGGGTATATTAGGTCTGTGCAAAACATGTAACATGCAGAAGGAAGAATCTCCGACCCCATAAAGTATATATATTCTGAATCAGAATGACGAGAGAAATCGATCTAGACATGTCCGTCCGTCTGTCCGTCCGTCCGTCTGGATGAACGCAAGGATCTCAGAAACTATAAAAGCTAGAATAACCAAAGTTGGCATCCAGATTCTCCTAGGTCCGAGAAAGGACGAGTTTATTTATTTTTTTAATTCTCGCCAGTACAACCCCCCCCCCAAACTGCAGCAACAAGTTTGATCTTCTTCTTCCTCTTTTTGCTGCTGCTTTGGGCGCATATAGCTCTGTGACGGAAGTTTACCTGGGTACAGGGTATTACACTGTCGGGTTGGTTGACTGTAGCGTTCTCTCTTGTTTTAATTTTCCTTTTTTGTGGAGAGTACAGGCTTTTTTACTGTCGGGCTTGCTCGACTGTAGCGTTCTCTCTTGTTTTAAATTGTAATTATATCGCTAAATATGATGGTTTTGTTAAAAATGCGCTATACTGTCGATAAAGAATTGAAGGAACTTTCAAACATTTTTGGCACCACCACGGATATGATCTTATTATTGCTTTTAAAAATACTCAACAATCACACTCCCGGAACTATAGAATTTTCAAAATTATATAGTTCATTGATTTGAAGTGCTAAATTCAGAGTACTTGGTGAAACAATAATTTTGAGAGGCATGTTGAAGTACACAAAGAAATAAATAACGGATAGGCTGCATTTAATCTAATTAAATCTAATCCAATCTAATTCTCTGATTAAAAACCTTTAATAAATGTACATACTCTTATTCTTCTTCTATTTCAATTGGAGGATTATTTTTTTTTTCTACCAATTTTTTATACGTGTATAGTCAGTTAACTGGTAGTGGCCCGTTAGTCATCTCATATTCTTGAGCTCATTTAATACTTATACAATAAGTATCTCAATGAAGTACAAGTACTTGAGCATTGAGAGGCTACATTTGACTACACATCAAAGGAATTTCAACTGTTCTGTCTTGGTATTTCCTTTTTTGGTATCCGCTTGACCTTTCAGCTTTGTCTGCTATTTCAAAGCACATTCAATTCAAGTTGCCGTTGGTTCGTTTTGGAGCCATTGTGCCTCTTTGATTGCTGTTATTGTGAGCTTCTTATTGTAAGGTTTTGCCGCTAACCCTCCAAATATTTTTACCGTAACAAATACCTACAAGTATAATGACTGGCCAGTGTCAGCGCAAACGTTACCCCCAACCTTAGCCCTTATCGACGCCTTTACAGCGTTGCTGCTAAAGTTTCACTTACCTTTGTCATTGGGATTAAATTCAGCCTCGAGCTCTGCTTTGGTTGGCTCTGCAGATGACGAGGCTGCCTCGGCGGCGGCAGCAACGGCGCTGCCATTGTTGGCTGTAGTTTTGGTTTCCGATTTTTTCATGGTCTCTCTCACTTTGTGGCCTCGGTAGACGGCTTGGATTTTTGTTGCGGCTTTTGCTGCAATTAAAAGTGGGAACATGAAAGGATTAATAGAGTGTTTCAAAGACTCGCCAGCGCACTTCTTTAAAGATTTTACTAAAATCCTATAACTTCAGTTTCTGTATTTCCATTTCACCCTTCTAACAGAAATCTCATATACGAACACAGCCTACAGCATTGACGTTGAAGTGCAGTTTTATAATGGATTTTTGTTGCGTTGATTGTTTGCTGATTTGTTCAAGGCTTGCCCCGCAAGTTTGACCTTTAAGTGCCCAACTTTTTGAAGCAATTAACTTCAATTGCAAGTTAAACTAAATGTCTGCACACTTACACACCCAAACACACACATATACAATCCTACATATATGGAATAATCGATATTTAATTGAATTCTAAGAATTTTCATTTGAGCGTTTTAGGAAAACTGTCGAAAAAGTGAGAACTTTGCTAATAAACTTGAGTGAAACCTTAGACGTGGGGCAAAAGGCAAAAGAGGGTGCATGCATGAAGGAAGCTGAGTAAGTTGGAATAAAAAGAGAAAATGTAGAAGTGAGTCAACGATGCTATTCGTTGGCCTATGTTTCAATGTTGGTTGTCTGCCTGCCTGGTCAGCATTAATTTTTTATGGCATTTTTCACGCTTGCCCACACACTGACACCGAAACTGGCCTTGAATAAGTAATAATAAATTGACACGTGAGGCGGCTGGTTACACCCCAAACACTATCAATAAAAGCACAACCATGTGCCAGCTCGACTCGCTGGCGATACAGAAGCGCGCATTCAGTTTGCGGCTTGAAAAATGGCGTCCGATATGCCGAGCAAGGCTATTTTTGTAGAGCGCGCTGTGGCAGTTGCGGCCGACGGCAGTGGCAGGTGGTAAGTGGCAAGTGATTGTGGCAGCTGCCTGCTGTGGCAAGGTAGCCATAGTTGGTGTGAAAGTCTGAAGTGCATAACATTTCACTTTTAATAGCTACCTGGTGCTTTAAATGCTTTCTCTTTCATTTTCTGGGGCCGACACACATTACTTAGAGTTGAATGTGGCAGCTACTCGTATGTTGGCTTTCATTGAAGTTGCCAAAAATTCAACTGTTAAAACATCTGTATTCCAGCGGTCGCATTGTTCTGTTCACTCATTCAGTGGACGCTTAAGTGCCAATATTGCACATTTTAAAATTTAGAGAGGTGAAGATTAATTTGCTATACAATATTAATCTGATAAAATGATTGCGAAGAATGAGTTAAAAATTAGGTTAGAGTGGATTCAAAGAGCAGAAAAATTGTCCCTATTAGAGCTGCTGAGAACAAACCCATTCTGAGGGAGATCACTGATAAACCACTTTGATGGGAATGCAGCAAAAGGTTGCTGGGAAATATTGCTGGTGCTATGAAACAGGAAGCTAAACTATAGTCATTACTCCTAAAAAGAAATGAACTACATACATGTTCTAAAGTTCGGATATTTATGACCTTATTTAGTGATTATAAATTTCTATTTATTTAAAGTACATGCTTGTAGTTGAGTGGATACTTCAGAGAAGTATATTTAATCAACACTTTAAAGTTGTTTTATTGGGATTCCTTTAATCGGGATGAGCAATGCGCGGAGTCGTCGCCCAATCAACAAAACTCTACTTGGAAATTATTTGTATACTCTAGCTGATATCCAATTTCTTTATTCGAGATATCTAACCCATTCCAAATTTGTTTTTCTAACGACTTTGTGAAAGCATAGATAAAACATTCAACATATTTGAATTTTTTCTTTAAATGTGAATTGAATTCATGTACCTAATGGATTTATCCAACTTAGCAATTTGCATAGCGCCAAATGTTGCCATAGCTGGGGCGTTGAATAGAAATCGAATTGTTAGACACTTTATACACGCCTGCAAATACATTTAAATGAATGCAACTGAATCGACTCATACATATTTCACAATTAAGCCAATAGTTTTTTACTGCATATTTTAATTGGAGTATCCAATTTTATCATTTTATCTCAGGCTTGCTAAAATTGGGAAAGCTTGAAACATTCGAAAAAAATATTGTATATTGCTCGTTCATTCGATGGTAGAGCTCTTGAGTTAAACTCGATTGACATTGATTAAGCCACATTTTTATGGCCGCTGGATATATGAAAGTTTATGTGTTTCGCACGCGATTGCAGTGAAATTTAAATTTTCATGGTTTATTACCTGCCAACTCAACACTATGTTCTACACACTCTTCCGCTGCTGATGCCGCATTTCACATAAGTTTAAGCGCATGATCTCATAAAATTCGAAGATGCACGCATATGTGTGGGAAAGTTATGAAATAAAATTTTCATGTGCCTCATTTAACCAAACAGTTACACAACGAATCGCGACTGACGCCGTACTCAGGCAACCAATAAAATTAATACGCCACATACACATACTTAGTACAGATACGGGCATTAGAATACCTAATACTGTCTTTTGTTGCCTTAGTTGTTATTGCTCCGACACGCTAGGGCATAAAGCTCTACACCAAATGTCAAACGCAACAACAAAGGACATTGAGAACGTCTGGAAAACGCACGCAATGGTCCTGTTCAAGGTGTAGGCGTACCACACAACGTATGTGCAATTTTTGCAGGGCTTAAGCACATTAAATGACTTGCGGTCCATTTCCGGTGCCATTCTCATAAACTTGGCTCATACTTAATTAATTCATAATATGCCATTTCCGCGTGGCGCAATTTTGCACGCAACGTTAAAATCATTTCCGCTTCCTTCAGAGCCACTGTTAAGGACAAGAGCACAAAATGAGCAGCGGACGGTGTTAAAAAAAATCGGATTAAATTCCTCAGGTGCTGTTGTTTTTGTTTCTGGCAAAAGTTTGGTTAGTGCTTTACTAATATTTTGTTATTGTTTTTCCCAGCTTATTATGGTTCGCAAATGACAGTAAATGGCAAGAATACTCAGCAGGAAGGCATGCACGAAGTGGGAGAAGGACAAGCAAATGCACAAGCAAAGTTATTTACGTAATTAAAATTCATTAGCTGATGTCTTCTCGTGGTACAGAAGTGGCCACTTCGTTGTTGTTTTTGCTCTATTTGTAACTGTTTTTGATGCCAGCACTGACTGACGTTGTTTCTTTTCATTGCCGGCACTTCTGCAAGAAAATGAATTGAGTTGTGAGCAGAGCTGGGTGCGTGAGAAAACGCGAAGTTATTAAATTAAATTCACATTTTTGTGGAAGATTACATTTCAGCTCATTTCATCAGTAGACCAAATTTATTATGGGAGTTAGGGCAATGTACAAGTAGAAGCAGAATTTAGCTGAAACTTAGCTAAATAATTAGAATTTAAGTGAATACAGATGGCAAGTTTGAGTGAAACGAAAATAGTTAAGATAAATAAACGGATGTTAAAACAAAGAGATGCAGAAACGAATGGCAAATTCTTTGAGCGGAAATATAATCGATGATGAAATCTAAACAAAATTTGAGTTAGGCATTGGATAAAGAGATGCAGAAACGAATGGCAAATTCTTTGAGCGGAAATATAATCGATGATGAAATCTAAACAAAATTTGAGTTAAGCCTTGGAAATGTAAATTAGCTTTTAATTTGCAGTTCTTGACTATTGTTTCGATTACGTAAACACTACATAGTACAAAATTAATGAAGAAGTCGAAGGATAGTGGTTTGTTGTTCTATAGAATTAAATGTTTAGCTTCGAATAAAATTGAAAATAAAAGACTCATTGAATTGCTAATTTAAGTTTTTAGAAACTCATAAAAATCATTTAATCAGTAATAACATGGTGTTTACAGTTTTTCCTTCGATACCACATTTTTATATCTCTTCAGGACTTTGCACTCACGATTACAATATTTGCGGACCCACCTCTAGATGGGCTGCAGGCTAAGGATTTAAGAGCTGCCTGTATGTAGAATTTTGCATTAGTTATGCACTCAAGTGGTACTTATGCAATTCAAGTTGGATTGGTAGATATATGAAAGCAACTTGGGTTTTTTGGCTTCAGCATTAGCATAATAAATCTCTAAGAAAACTGTTAGTTTTCCAAATATTGTAAGCACTTTAATGGTAATACATTTATTATTTCCAGAACACATACAATGCTTCAAAGAATTGCGCAATTTTATTCAGGAAAATCTTTAATTGATTAACGTTTAAGTGAGTCGGTTTGCCCTTCTGCCGAGCTTCTTTCCTCGTTATAGTTCGTCTTTGTTTCATTTATCAATGCCACATTAGTTCTGTGAGTCCGTTGCAGCTCAAAGCAAATTGGATACAATTTATTATTTTAATTAAATTGTAGGTTGTCAGCTTGCACAGTTGGGCGCTGCATTTTTGCTTTGAAATTACCTGGGCTAAAACCTGTTCACCCAGCTAGCTGCAGTTGTGTTTGCCCGTGTTTGTAACAGAAGGGCCAAGCTAGTGGGAATAACGGTGAAGGCTGCTAGGCAACAATACCGGGGAATATTAAAACGAATGAGTTATGGATGAGGCGAGACAAGAGGGCCAGAGAAGGGCCTTTACCTTGGGTAATGCAACGTCTTCGTGTGCTGGCAAGAACTTGGCCGTAAGCCATTAGCTCAGACATTAAATGACAGCTTTAAAGCAATAGGCACTAAGCAGAGCAATTACTAGTAGTAAGGGTCTGAGCAATAGAATAAGCTGCATATTTTTATTATTTTTCCTATAACATCCGTTATGTTGTGGCAAATTCGCTGTAATCGCTAATGAGTGGGAATAATGGGTGACACGTAACAAACTATAATTAAAATAAATTAAATATATAAATGTAGAATGCCAAAAAATCTAGTATGCATCTGCATTGATAAGATTAAATAAACAGCGTCCTGTGGTGTGCATTAAAATGCTGACAATTTATTCCAAACATGCACGCGTTTTATAACGAACCGTACTAACGATTTATAATTGGCTCCCTGGCTGACTTCTCACCCAAAAACTAACCACAAATACTACTGTGCATGGCAGTCAAACATATTTATTTCTTTCCTTTA